GCGGTGGCGGACCCAATGCGGACGCTCCTGGCGAGGATGCCAGCCACACCGCTGCCACTGGAGTCGGGCCTGTGGCCCTGTGGCAGGAAAGTCCAGGATCTGGAGGAGACGCGGCTTACAACAGCCCCAACCTCCAGCGAACAGAGCCACTCCGGCAACTTCCATCTGCTCAGTCATGCCTCTGTGGGACAGGACCCCCACATGCAGGGCTGTCAGCGGACGGAGGGGGATGGATGTCAGCACACACAGGACATGTGACCGAGACCAACAGGACATGTATGTCTGTGTTTTTTGTAAGAAAGGAACCTTGAGAAGGTTGAATTCTACGGGGCTCTGGGAAGACAGCCACAGGAACCCCAGAGATGCACAAAATTATGCAGCAAAACACACTCCAATGTCACGCAGGTGAGGTCTGCTCACAGAAGTCAAGGGCGGGGGGGCTCTCGAGGCCCCCCACCCACCTTCCCCCAGGAAGTGGTTTAGGAGCAAGGCCAGAGAGTGCCCACTGTTGGGCCTCTCAGATACCCCCAGAGCCCCCCAATCCATCACACTCTTGGAAGACCTTAATTTAACAATACCCACTATGCTGTCCTCTCACTCCAGAGTGGAAGTAACTGGGCAAAGGCCCTCACCTTCTCATCACATCAATGCTTTTGCTTAGAAGTATCTTGGGGCCAGACGTGGTGGCTCATGCCTGTAATCCTAGCATGTTGAGAGGCTGAGGTGGGAGGACTGCTTGAGCTCAGGAGTTCAAGACCAGCCTGGACAACACAGCGAGATCTCATCTCTACAAGAACATTTTAAAAATTAACCAGGCGCGGTGGCTCAAGCCTGTGATCCCAGCACTTTGGGAGGTGGAGGTGAGAGGACTGCCTGAGCCCAAGGTTCGAGACCAGCCTATGCAACTTGGTGAGACATTGCCTCTACAGTAAATCAAAAAATTAGCTTGGCATGGTGGCACACGCCTGTAGTTCCAGCTACTTGGAAGCCTGAGGAGGAAGGATCGCCAGAGCCCAGCAGGAGAGGCTGTGGTGGCTGTGAGTGTGCCACTGCACTCCAGCTAGGCAACAGTGAGACTCAAAAAAAATAATAAAATAACACAAAGTTAGTTGGGTGGCAGCAAGACTGCTTGAGCCCAGGAGGCCGAGGCTGCAGCGCACTATGACCGTGCCATTGCACTCCGGCATCTTGAGCGTGGCACGGGCCGTGTCCCAACTCTGCCGCGCAATGGCAGCCGCGGACTGAAGAGGGGAGCGCTTGCTGCATGCCTGCACGCTCCCCCTTGCATGGCCCCATCAGGCTGTGCTTTCCCTGCTTCCGGAGACCCGCGCCCCTGCAATGTGGCATCCTTGAGGGGAGAGTGGGGCCACTCTTCTCTTCGCTGGACATCACCACCTGCATCTCGGAGGTGGGGCTCGCAGCAGCCTGGGCGCCCAGGACCCTGGGGCCCTTCCACCCCCTCCCAGGGCTGGCCTGACGCCCGCTGCCAACAGCGTCAAGTCCTTTCCAGGCACACCCTGCCACAGGCCAGCACAGCCTCCTTGGGGATGGGGTCCTCCAGCGGCGTCCCTGCCCATTCGCCTGTCGGCTGCATCAAGGAGCCCCGACGGTCAGCACGAACCACGTGGAATGTCCAGGGCTTTGCGGGAGCCTCCTCTGGAAAGACTGGGTGCTTGGGGCGACCTGCGCCCCAGGCAGCTCCGCGCCAGGGCCTCTTCCCACCGGAGTCCCACAGGGCTATGCATCCATCCCCACCCTTCCGGCGTGGGTGATGGTCACACACTCCAGGCAGGCCTGGCAGTCTGGAGGATGCTGTCCACCGGACTCTCGGAAGCCCTGGAACACAGTTGGCGGCAGCTGTGTCCTTGGCGGGCGGCGCCGGCTCCTGCCTTCCTCCTCGCGCTGCCACTGAGGCAGGCTCTGCTTCGAGGCGCGCAGATTCACCTGGCCCCGCTGCAAAACACTGCTCAGCGAGGCCATGTAGGGTCTACACCCCACCCCGAGGTGTCCAGGATGTGCCCAGACCCCAGCCCGACCACACGCCCAAAAGGAAGGAGCTTCTCTTAAGAGCAGAGCAGAGCCCACCAGGCTGGGTCCCCCCAGAGCCAGGCCTGGCAGAGACCCCCTCCCCAGCCGAAGTGGAGCGGAGAAAGAATGAAAGGGTTGAATAAGAATCCTGCCGCCCCTTCCAGGCCGCTCTTCAGCTGTTTCCTCTGGGATGCTTCAGGGACAGTTTTGTGGTGTCCAGAGGACACAGAGCTAGGCGGCCCCAGAGAGACCTCAGGGACGCGGGGGTCAAGAACATGGGGCTCTGGACTGAGCAGCAAACAGGAAGGGAAGCCGGGACCTTTCTGAGTGGGAGCTGGCCTGCTACAAGGCAGGCCGGGTTCCTAAGAGACCCCTTCCCCCTCCCGTCTCCCCCCTCCCTTCCCTGCAGGCGAGTGGTCAATCAGCGCCCACCCCTGCCCCTCACTCCCCACCGACCCCTGCCGACCGGCGCCTTACCTGTCTAAGACCCAAGAGGAAAGGCATCCTGCCAGGGCATGCCCACCCCGAGGCTGGCAGGGGCGCCCGCGAGGGAAGGCAGAGCGAGCCCGTGCGGCACCCTGTCCGGCTAGCCGGCCTCGCTCCTCGGCAGAGCAGGCCGTAAACAGTCCCAGGACCCAGCAGGCGCTGCCTCAGCCCCCCTCGCTCCCCCCACTCTGGCCCACCCCCCTTCTCGTGACATATCTCAGACGCAGAACGGCCGAGCTGTCTGCCAGGGGGGAAATGACATCAGTCCGGGTGCAGCAGAAGGAACTTCAGACAGCTGCCGCGGAGGCCGGGAGGACCCTGTTGGCCTGCTAGGGCCACCCAGCCCGCCCGGAGCCCCGGCCACAACAGAGGTTCCAGGCAGGCTGCCTAGCAGGAATCACGTCCGAGCTGGGAAGGGCCACTTCTCGGAAGGGGCTCTTGGGCTCTTGGCAGCTCCCGGCTTTGGGTCTCCTCCTCCCTGGGGAAGAAAGGCAGGCCCCGCAGCGGTCGGCTTCCCGCGAGCGCTTCCGCCCCTGGGCTGCTGGCCCACCGCGGCCCGGGCAGGCCGCCGGCCTCTCCAGGGCCTGGGGTGCCCCCTCCCCAAGGTGGCCTCTCCGGCAGGCCTTCTCCGAGTTTACGTTTCATAAACAAGCTGCAGCGCAGGCGCCAGTATCTTTCCTCACTCGTCTTACGAGAGGCACAGCAAGTCCCTGGGCCGCCGGTGGCCAGAGGGCAGGTCATCTATATTTAGCCAGCCCTTGCTGGGGAAAAGCGCCCGCCTTGGGTCTGCCGTGCGGTCTCGCCGAGTCCAGTTTACGCGGAAAGGGGCCCTCAGGCTGCAGGCTCGGCTGAGAAGCTACGGCCGGGGGCTGCATTCTGCTCGGACCCTGTCGGGTCTGGGTGAGCCCAGTCCCCCGTCAACCTCCCCACACAGGTCACAGCGGCTCTCCTGGGCCTGGATCCTCTGCACAGACAACACTAGCGAGGACACCAGCTCTGGTGCTCGGCCCCCGAAGAGAATCTTTCAGAGGTGCGGATCCACCTGAGACTTTGCTAGCTGCACTTTCCATGACTCCAGGCAGGCAGAGCTCACCCTTTCATTTTCTGCAACAGTTTTCTCCCTGGGAATCTGTTCACGGCCTCTGTGGCATGCCAGGTGACTCCTGTACACGCGTGTCTACCACCCCCACCCAGGGCCAGAAGCCGACAGCACACGACACGGGCAGCCAGGTGAGGTGTCGAGGTGCTCTCGGCGTGCCAGAAACCAGCCGACACACAGCGTGCTGGCCGCTAGTCCCCGCTGACTGTCAAGGTCACACCGACTTTCTGACAAGGAAATGAACACACCAGGCCGGCTGAGCCACTTCCTTGAAACGGAGAAAGAACGGACTGCAGCCTCGCGGCTGAGGAGGGAGGGAGGCTGGTGGCAGAGAGGGGCCTTCGCTGCTGCAGGGTCTGGGGGCTGGGGAGCGCCAAACACCTGCACACGCAGATCCTCAAGGCGGGGCCAGACCATCAGCTGCGTCTCGCTCACACCAAGGCCATGTTGCAGACAGGCCAGGCTGGACAGGGGGCACAGCTGCCCGGGAAGGGCGAAGAGGCCGCTCTCAGCCCTATCCTCACCACCCCCTTGGTTCCTTGGCAACGATGGAGAGCTGCAAACCACACGCTGCCTCATCAGCTCTGGCCACCGGGGAGCACCCTGGCCCCTCGTGGCAACTCTGGCCTGCACCAACAGCACAAGACGGCCCGGCACCTGCAAGTCTCCAGAAGGGATACTGTGGAGAAAGGGAGCCCGCTCACCTGTTCACCCAACACCCACCGAGTGCCCACAGGGGACACCAGTGACACGAGCATGGCCACAACACCCAAGGACTGTGCTCTGAGGGCCACGGGAGCACCCCATGCCTCTCAAAGACACATTCCGGAGGTGATCTCGGAAGCAGTGATCGCAACTAAACTCTGAGAAATCCAAACACAACTGCAGGCTGCAACCTAAACGATCAGAATGGCAGGACACACATCCCAACTTCCTAACGAGTCAGCCTGTTACAGACAGGCCTCGAGAGGCGTTTCCAATCGGCATTTGTCTGTTTTCACCTCCCTTCAAGATCACGCACTTGCGTGCAAGGTAGCGCTCGGTCCGAAGCGTCAGGCCTGGCTCGGCGTCACCCGCTCGGAGGCAGAGATGGCCAGCTCGGCTTCGTTCTCGTGCATTTTCTCCCGCAGAGCCCCTGACTGACTGACCCTCATCGAGCACTGAGATGGGGGGTGGGGAGGTGAGGAGAAAAAGGGGAGCTGAACGGGCCGACTTTTCCAGGAAGATGAGCTCGCTTTCTGCCTTGCCCTACACACAGTTTCACAACCTGGTGACAAAGCGGCCACCTCAGCATTCAAGGAGCCAGACGAGCCAGGCGTGGAGGCGCATCTGTGGCCCCAGCTGCTTCGGAGGCCAAGGCACGAGGTCGCCGGAGCCAGGAGCTCGAGACCAGGCTAGGCAACATAGCAAGGCCCCTACCTGCCAAAAGAAACTGGCCGGGTGTGGCGTCGCAGGCCTACAGTCCCAGCTGCTGGGGAGGCCGCAGTGGAAGGATCACCCGAGCCCAGGAGCTGAGAGCTGCACTGAGCTGTGATCACACCACTGCACCCCAGCCTGGGCAACAGAGCAAGACCTTGTCTCTTTAAAACAGGTGGGGGAAAAATAGCCATTTCTGCCAGCCTGAAAACATGGGCTCCTCCAGGTTTCAGGCCTCAGCCTCCCGAGTAGCTGGGACTACAGGTGTACCACCACGCCTGGCTAACTTTATTTAGTATATGTGTACGTATATATATATATATATTTTAGAGACAGGTCACTATGCTGTTTAGGCTGGTCTCAAACTCCTGGGCTCAAGTGGTCCTCCCACCTCAGCCTGCTGGAGTGCTGGATTACAGTGTGAGCCACTGCGCCTAGCCTCAGTATTTTGACCTTAATTACAATTGTCACTTCCTCATTTGTGACCTCACATTCACAGGACGTACTGCAGGGATCACAGGCACTCTGTGATCGTGTGGGGCGGGCGGGGGACAGAGACCGTGACACGAGAGGGGCGAGAAGGGCCAAGGAATGTCTTGTCAGGAGAGGGACACTGAAACAGCATGCAGGCATGACGGGAAACGAGCAAGAGGCAGGACCAGCACAAATGAAAGCCGGACGGAGGACGCACAGTCCCAAGAGGCCAAGCCAGCCAGGGTGGAGCTCGGCCTGCATGCACTGCCCTGCCGGCGGTCCAGGGCCAGCACACGGGCGTTTCCTTCCGACGACCGCAGCCTGTGGACATCAAGCACAGGACTCCCTGCTTTGCCAAGTACCCCAGTCTCGGCTCTGCTTGGCAATATCCACTACTAAAAAGTGGCAAGTCCTGGAGGTGACCTGGTCTCGGCGGGGCTTGGGGCGGGGGAAGGGCTCCTGTGTCAGCACAGCCTCAGTCTCGTATGTTTTATTTATTTTAGAGACAGGATCTCGCTCTGTCGTTCAGGCTGGAGTGCAGTGGCATGATCATGGCTCACTCCAGCCTTTAAATGAGTAAAACAAAAAACAGAAGAAATAAATAGAGGGGAAGAAACAAAAGCAGCAGAGGTGGAAATGCGGACAGCAGCTTCCCAAGGCTCCAGCCTCCCGCTCCCCAGGCTCTCAACGAGACGGTTCTGCACCCCGGTGCAGTGCCTCCACGGACAGGCATCTGCCACACCTCCAGAGACTGGGGGGCTCTGCAGCTCCCAGGACAGAGGCCGTCACAGACGGTCAGCGCCCCGCCAGAGGCGGCCTCCTTCACACGAGGTCCAGCAGGAAGCCTGGCTCGTGGCACCAGGCTCGCCCTCACCCCTGCAGCTGCGCAGATCAGATGTCGTGTCCTCCCTTCCCAGGCCCCTCGGGAGCCAGGGCCACCCAGGTCTACGGTTTCACAGTCAAAACACGGAGAAAATGGGAAGACGACCTATCCCCCATAAGCTGCAAGGGTGGGGAGACCTCTGGAACACACGTAGGCACACCTGAGGAGAATGATGGATGACTCAAGGCGGCGAGGGCGACGTGGCAGACGAAGGGAGCAGGAGGCTGTCACGGGGCCACCGTGACCCCCTGGCCCACGCCTGCAGAGTGGCATGGCAGCGCAGCTGTGCAGAAGCCCACCTCAACACACCCGGATCCGTCTCGACCACAGGAAGCACCAGGACGAAGCAGAGAAACAATCAGACGCCACCGGCGGCTCCCAGAGCTTAGCGGGAAGCTGGACGTGCCCTGGGGAAGCTCCCACCCCAGCAAGGAGGCACGTGGGAGCCGCAGATGCCACGTCTGAGCACTTCTGTCGCGCGTCCTCCCGGAGACTGAAGAAACGAGGCTGCTACAAGGCCTTTCACTGTGCCTAGAGCGGCAAGGCGGGGAGGACCCCGTGAGCGGACCTGACGCCACCCTTGCCCTCACACAGAGCTCGAGGCTGTGGCTTTGAGGAGGCCCCGCACACTCACAGGAAGTCCAGGACACAATTCGAGGGAACCACAGCTCCAAGTGTGTGCCAGCTGGTGACAGGATGTCCCTGCCCCGCTGCTCAGATGTCGACACCGAAGATCTAAAGGTGGGCCATGGTCTAGCACCAGCGCGGGGCTTCCGACGGAGGGCACAGAGGCCTTCCAGGGAGGGATCCCAGGAGCTCTTCCTCTCAGCTAGCCCATCCAGGGGGACGGCCTTCCACGCCTGCTGTGCCCTGACCGGGCCAGTGACCCCTGGCCACCGCCTGCCCTCTGAGCCTGCCACCTGCCAGCACTGCCCAGCGGCCGCACCCAGGCAGCAGTGTCTGCAGCAAGAGTCCGTCTCGTGTGGAGCGTCTCGTGCAGGAGCCCCAGGGGTCCCAGTTCAGAAGCCCCTTCAGCCCAAGCTGCCCACTAGGCCGCACAGATGCCCTTCTCGCTGTCTCTGGAGTCTTTCCGCCTCCAAGTTCCACAACCCACTCACCCCGGGCGGTGCTGCTGGGTTGGCAGGCCCAGTCAGGGCATGGATGGGCACACGACTGCC